AGTCCTTGGCATTTAAACGATTCTGAATTGGTACTAAGGAGCCCAAAGTGTGCCAAAAAAATATCCCCCACACCATTACACCACCACCACCAGTCTGAACTGTTGATACTAGGCAGGATGGATCTATACGTTCATGTTGGTTAAACAAAATTCTGACCCTACCATCTGAATGTCACAGCTGAAATTGAGACTCATCAGACCAGGTAACATTTTTCCAATCTTCTATTGCCCAATTTTGGGGAGCCTGTGCAAATTGTAGCTTCTGTTTTTCTTGTTCATGGCTGACAGGAGTGGCACCCGGTGTGGTCTTCTGCTGCTGTAGCCCATCTGCTTCAAGGTTCGACATGTTTTGCATTCAGAGATGGTATTCTGCATACCTTGGTTGTAACGATTGGTTATTTGAGTTACTGTTGCCTTTCTATCATCTCAAACCAGTCTGCCCATTCTCCTCTTACTTCTGATATCAACTAGACATTTTCGTCCACACAACTGCTGCTCACTGGATATTTTCTCTTTTTTGGACCATTCTCTGTAAACCCTAGAGATGGTTGTGTGTGAAAATCCCAGTAGATCAGCAGTTTTTTAAATACTCAGACAAGCCCATCTGGCACCAACAACTATGCCACGTTCAAAGTCACTTAAATCCCCTTTCTTCCCTATTCTGATGCTCGGTTTGAACTTCACAAAGTTGACTTTACCACTTCTAGATGCCTAAATGCATTGAGTTGCTGCAATGTGATTGGCTAATTAGCAATTTGTGTTGCCAAGCAAGCATTGAACAGGTGTGCCTAATCAAGTGGCCAGTGACTGTATACTATTATATTGTGTAGCTACCCCTTTAGATGTAATATACACTTATACTCCGAAAATCAATAATAAAGAAAAGTGCTTCACATAAAACCATTCATATAGCCAATAAAATGTGAATACATTAAATAAAATAAATGTATATATAAGTCCAAAACATAAGTCCAACCTTTTGCTCTAGTGCATCCCAACACCATGCATAGATAACCGTGTTCATGTGATCATTTCCTCTTTCATTGTTAAAGCACTGAAAACAAGTCCTTTACTACATGCTCAACAAATGTGCACTCACCGCAGTAATATGACAAGGCCATATAATGATTTTCCAACCTCTGATAAGCTCTAAGGTACTCTGGTCCTGGATATCCCCCAGCATTGGTAGTCCTTAAGGACCTCATCTCTCCCAGGTAGCAATCAAACCAGCACCATAAAATACATAATCTCATAGTGCACTATTTATTTTTAAAATTGCACAAATACATAAAAGACAATCAGCCACTCACATTTAAAAGTGCCCAAATTCTCAACACCAATGTATACAGCCTTTGAATATGCCACTCCGCTGCTCCGCTCCAGTCCCAGGAGCTGGCATGTGTTCCAAAGCCTGGAAACCAGCCAGGGGTGGACTGACAACTCATGGGGCCCCCGGGCAATGTACTGTTTTCCCCAAACATTATTATTCAGTTCTGCAATTTCCAAATTTTTGGTGTATCTGCAATCCGAGACTCTGTGTATTTTTTGCTGCCGTACCATGCTGCACCTACCCAACACTTGGGCTCCATTTTGACATGGGTAACAACAAGATTGGTTTGATCAGATGCTTTTACAAGCCAGCAATGGCTTGCTTAACCACTTGGCAACTGTGCTATAGCTGAAGGACGGCTACAACACGGTTTGTCCAGTTCTGGGAGGGCATCATATGACATCCTCCCAGAACACGCCCTCCCAGCAGTGCGCACCCAGTGATCTCCGTCATTCTTGTGTCCTACGGACGCAGCTGATCACGTGATGTGGTAAACGTGATGTGGCCAATCACAGCAGCCTTTTACCAAGTGATCATCTATGTCCAATGACAAAGCAGATCACCGGGTAAATACAGTTGCAGGTTATCAGCTGCACTTTTCTCACGCTGTCACAGCGTGAGGCAAGTACTACCAATAACCGGCAATTGTCAGAGAACAGGCACTGGCACAGGCACTGGTCAGTGCCCAGCAGTGCCACTCATTTGTTCCCAGCAGTGCCACAGTGCCACCCACAAGTGCCCCCAGCAGTGCCCCCATCAGTGCTAGCAGTGCCCCCATCAGTGCTGCCCAGCATTGTCCCCCACCAGTGTCACCCAGCAGTGCCACCAGTCAATGCTGTCAGTCAGTGTCCCCCATCAGTGCCCATCAGTGTCACCTATCAGTGCAGCATCATCAGTGCTGCCTATCAGTGCACATCAGTGCTGCCTATCTGTGCCATCTCATCAGTGCCCATCAGTGCTGCCTATCCATGCCACCTCATCAGTGCCCATCAGTGCTGCCTACCAGTGCCCATCGGTGCAGCCTATCAGTGCAGCCTCATCAACGCACACCAGTGAAGGAGAAAGCAGCACTTTCAGCTAATCAGGGTTCTGTTACTTACAGGGAAGTGCTTACTAGAGGACAGAGCAGAGACATGCCCTCATCAGTTTGCTGCTGCTCCTTCTTTATCCAATGACAGGCTGGGGGCTGGTCATGGTCCAAGCTCATTGTCCAAGATCATGGTCCAAGATCATGTCCAAGTGTAGTACGTGACTGCATTGTAGTCTGCAAAGACATCTGGGACCTGGCTGTCTTGCTCAGCATACAAAACTGGCTGGACAAAATGCACAAATGTTTAAAGCAGCATTAAACCCCACTATATATATTTTAATGGGTCCCCAGGATATTTATGCCATATTGTGCTGATGAGCACAGCATATTAACCACTTGCCCTCCAGAAGATTTACCCCCCTTCATGATCAGGCAATTTTTTTGCCATATGGCGCTGCGCTACTTTAACTGACAATTGCTTTTTTGCGCTATAAACAAAACCTTCAGTGTGCAGCTCCCCCCACAGTCCCCCCTAATACCTACCTGAGCCCCATCTCGGTAGGTAGAGCGATGTGCAGGAGAGCAGCTGCTGTCCCAGGAATCTCTCTCCTCATTGGCGGACCCAATGGAGGATGGGATTGAGCCATAGATACACAGAGGCGGCTCAAGGGTGAGCACATACAAGTGACCCCCAGAGCAAGCAGCATGCTATGGGGGCACTTGGCGAGGGGCAGGGGCCAGAAGCGCCGACAGGGGACCCAAGAAGAGGAGGCTGCTCTGTGCAAAACCACTGCACAGAGCAGGTAAGTATGATGTGTTTTTTTTTTTTAAAGAGAAAGAAAAACCAAGCCGTTAGAACGGTTTTAATCAATCAAATAAATCATAAATGCATCACTAACTTTAGGTGTAAAGTCCACATGTGGCGTGAACTCCGCTATGTAAATATTTGCACATCTATGTGTTAGCCAGACAAATATATCCAACTGTAGCACACAGTTCCGATTATGTCTTCTTCCACACCAGCTTGTAATGTGATTACCCCGTTCTTCAAAGTGCACAATCACCAAACTCGGAGGACTTCTTTGTATGAGAAGATCACAGTGTGGTGTGGGTTTAAGCTGGAAACTCTCCTCCATTCACACTCCACAGATATCTGGTCCCCAAGGGTTAATTATGATAAATTATGATCGTCTAGTCCACATTCTCCTTTTTCCCATATCATCAGACCAGGTACACATGAATCCAAAGGGTTCTACATGTCTTCCTTATGTTTGCTCGCCATAGACAGTGCTACCTTGATCATACGATTATTAATTGTGATTTATTGCACACTGTAACAGCTTTCTCATTAGCAAGGCCTGTATTTATTCTGAAGAAATAGCTATTTGTTCTTCTGTGTCTTTTGGATACTGACTATCAATGGGAATTATTTCATTATTGGTCAGCTAATCCACTTGCAGAGCTCTATTGAGGAGAGTGGCAGGGTCTGCATTCCTTTAGAAGTAATTATCCCTTTAAGAGCATATTTCAACTACTAGAACCTATTCTAAAATGCCCTAGTAGCACCTAGAAAACTATAGATTACTTTCTGTAAGGTGCTCTGAGGGCCATAGGTTGGACACCATCATTCTGGTTATTTATTCTTTACACAACCCTGAGCACATATCACCAACCTCCTCTTCTGTATTCCTGGTGTTCACTGACCACCACCCTCACCTTAGGCTACTTTCACACTGAGAAGTTTTTGAAGCGTTTTTGCGTTAAAAAAAAGAACCTGAAAAGCCCAAGAAAAATGCTTCCCTATGTATGTGAATGTATATCTATGTATGTTTTCACACTGAGGTGTTGCGCTTGTGGTGCGGTGTAAAAAATCCTGCTTGCAGCATCTTTGGGGCATGTTTGATGAGTTAAAAAAAAACCCCCAAAACACCTCTTCCATTGAAATCAAAGGAAAACGCCTCAAAAATGCCTCTGAAAAGCTTTTTTGGTGCAGTTTTATGTCATGTGTCCTTTTAAAAAACGCAGCAAAAAGCGTTAAAACAACTATGCATTTTTTAGACGTTTTTTGTGGTGGATCAGTGTGGCAGTAGCCTTAGTCCCCGGCCACACTGGATGCAAATTGGCATGCGATTTGCATGCTATGCGACTTGCAAGTAGCACCCTATTGTCTGCAATTACAGCACTCATATCGGTGTGGCTCCAACTTAGTTGGAGTCGCACCAATTTCTAAAGTAGTGCATGTACTACTTTTGGTGCGATTTACATAGACATCTGTATCAGATGTCTTGCAAATCGCACCTGAAATCAACAAGTCACCCGACTTTGAAATCGTGCAACTTCACTGTAAGTCACACAATTTCCGCTGGGTTTGATGTGACCGGGTTGTAAGGCTACTTTCACACTGAGGAGTTTTTGAAGCGTTTTTGTGTTAAAAAAAAGCGCCTGAAAAGCTCAAGAAAAATGCTTCCCTATGTATGTGAATGTATATCTATGTATGTTTTCACACTGAGGTGTTGCGCTTGTGGTGCGGTGTAAAAACTCCTGCTTGCAGCATCTTTGGGGCATGTTTGATGAGTTAAAGAAAAGCCCCCAAAACACCTCTTCCCATTGAAAGTAATGGAAAGCACCTGCAAAATGCCTTAAAAATGCCAGAAAAGTGCCTCAAAAACGCCTCTGAGAAGCGTTTTTGGTGCAGTTTTTGTCATGTGTCCTTTAAAAAACACTCAGAAAGTGCAGCAAAAGTGCAGTAAAAAACGCCTATGCGTTGTTGCAGTGGATCATTGTGGATCAGTGTGAAACAGAGGTGGACGACCATTTGGAAACTCGGGCACTGCCCAAGGGCCCGGGGTCAGTAGGGGGCCCCATAAGATGCCCCTGGTACCTTTTTCATAGGCTTTTTTGAGTTTGAGCAAGGACACAGGGGCCCCATGATCCCCTATTGCCCGGGGGCCCCATGAGTTGTCAGCCTGGTGTGAAAGTATCCTTAAGCTGCAATAGGCAGGTGATGGGGGTGTTTACATGTTGTGGCCTCAATGCTTCACGCTCACTGCAAAGTTTGACCGACGTAGCAATCAGTGGGTGGCATGCATGCCAAATGCTACACATTCAAGTAAATAGGGGAAGCCCTTGCAGCGGTAGCAGCGCAATTGTCAGCAAAATTTGAGTTAAACCAGGCAGTGAGGAGGTGTCGCATTAGTTCCCAATGCCTGTCAGTAACATTCTGAGAGCGATCCAAACACAGATCTGGCTTCAGAGGCACAGGATTTAAACGCATGTCTGAATCTACCCTTGACATATACAGTGGTGTCACCTGTCTGCTCTCAGCCTGCTGGACTGGACAGAGCAGCAGCACAGTATAAATGCCAACTGTTCTGGATTTGCTGAAACAGTCCCACAGCTATATGCTCTGTCCTGATGATGATGATGTCTAAAGCATGGATCACAATCAGTTATTGCACATTACTCTCATTTAAGTTACTAAGCATGTGCAATAACTGAAAAGGGCACAACTGAGGGGATCATGGTTGCAGGTGGGTGGTTCCCACTTAATCGCTTCCCTACTGCCCTATAGCAGAACTACTGCTATAGGGTGGCAGGGCTGCTCAAAATCACGCATTTACAATTTTTTTTTAATCATGTCCCTGTACAGTATTTATTCCTTTAAAGTGCACTTTATAAAGAGTTTTGAACAGATAAAAGACTTTTCTTTTACTTTTTTTCTGACCTCCGGAATGGATTAATTGGTTTTCAATGCATTCCTATGGGAAACCGCTTTCGGTTAATGAATTTTTCGCAATGTGAAACGTCCCACAGAACGCATTAAATTCATAAATCGAGGTATGCCTGTACATGATTTTGCATTTTCGGGCAGGGGGGTGCACGCGTCACCCTACCTGTGCCGCCATTGGCGGCTACATCTGTCGATCACCGGTTCCTGGCCGGAGATTCCCCACTGATGCCCTGCGATCAGTGAGGAACACTGACAAGGAAGAGGTCTGTATATAAACAACACAGACCTCTCCCTTGTCAGTACCAGCATGCTGCTTTACATAGCAGAGCAATACAATAACACAGCAGACACAGTAAAACAGCACACAGTTAACCCTTTGATCGCCAATGTTAACCCCTTCCTGCCCAGTGCCATTAGAACAGTGTCTGTGCTTTTTAGTAGCACTGATCACTGTATTAGTGTCACTGGGGATGTCAGTGGCAGTTATTCAGTCCCACCCCTTGTCATAATGCCCGCCACAGTATATATACTGTCCAGTATATATAACGCCACTTGTAGAAATAGAGCAGAATACATTTTGGCCTAAATTTATGATGAATTTGATTTTTAAAATGTTCTTACTGGATGTTTAAAACTTTAATGTTTTATAGCAAAAAGTCAAAAATATTGTTTTTTTCAAAATTGGCCATTTTTTTTTGTTTATAGCGCAAAAAATAAAAAATGCAGAGGTGATAAAATACCACCAAAAGAAAGCTCCATTTGTAGGAAAAAAAGGACATAAATTTAATTTATGTGCAGTGCTGCATGACCGAGCAATTGCCAGTTAAAGTAATGCAGAGGTGTATCGCAAAAAATGGCCTGATCGGGAAGGGGGGTAAATCCTCGGGAGGGCAAGTTGATAGTTAGGCGCAAGACCACTTAGAAAGGGGGCATAACCTAGGAGGGTCATAATATGTGTGGGCAGGGACAGTGCGTCGGGGACTGGAACAAAGATGTTGGCAAGTATGACATAGGAAACTGTGTTCACTCTCTCCTCCTCTCTGGGTGCTTGCTGTTGACCTTCGATTATGCAATGTTACATTATAAACTGATACTTTAAATAAAAAAACTTACAGATCAGTTGTTCTTTTATGTTATTATTATTATTATACAGGATTTATATAGAGCCAACAGTTTTCTCAGCACTTTACAATATAAAGGGAGACAATACAGCAACAATACAGTTCAATACAAGAGTAATATGATGGCCTGATCCTGGGAGCTTACAATCTAAGTTGAATAGTGTTAAGAAATATGTCAGCTCTTTATAACTGACCAAAAAAACCCCCACATTATTATTACAAGACCACCTAGACATCCAGCGCCTATCAGTTTGAAGAAACATTTACAGTAATCCCACTAAAACCCACTAAAGTGCAAGTGACATAAAATCAAAAACTTTTCATGAAAATCCTCATGGTCAGTTAATCAAATAAAAGGATATTCAGAGACCCCCCAAAGGTAAAGCTATAAAACTTTAACAACTGTTTCCCTTTATTAATCCTTTTGCGACTAGAGTTTTTTTTGAAGCTTAGGTACCCAGTCCAAGCTTAGCAGCGTCAGTATGCGTCATTTAACGCAACAATAACTCTACGACTAATTTTTCTATTAGAAAGTAGATCTGAGAACTAGGAACACACACAGTCACGCATTCTTAATTCCCTGCTGCAAGGTTAACAAACGTTCTCACAGCAGGGGGAATTTTACTTTTGGACATAAAAAGGAGTATTGAGTCACAAAGGGGTTAACGTCATCCCTCAGTCTACAATCTGTTCTTGAAACTAATTGTGTGTTTGGGAAATTATTTTAAAACACAGCGATATAATTCTGGGGTTGATCTAATGAGGAAGTAATTTGCCTTGGGTAACACTAAACACCCAATTGTATAACAAGAATGATAAAAAAAAAAAACAAAAAAAACTATTTACTAGAGAAGTCAATGCAAGCAGGTTGGAAAATGACTCTTTTAGTAAATGACCCCCATGTGAAGGATAGACGTGGGTGGTGGAGTAGTCTTACCTGGCATAGCGTGGGATGGTGATAGGGTCTCCGAGATGTTTCATTGATTCTGCAGCTGGTAACGTGACTCGTAATAGAAGTCACAGTTTCCACGCAGCTTAACACACCTTCCTCTAAGGCGCGGGCTTTATCTCTCCTCTGCTCGTCCTTTCAGCATGTTGGGCTCTGGGTGAGTTCACCTGAATCCTTTACAGTGTGTCAATGCAGGTAGATCAGATGATAATTAACTCACCTTGGTGAAATGTACTCTAAATTTTCTCTGACACATCACAATAAATACAACTTTATAAGCATTCAGAAAAAACTCCACCGTTAATCATTAAAAAAAAAAAAAAAACCTTGAGCCAGCCAGTGACTTTGCCTTGCCCCATTTATACCTTGACATCTGCAGAAAAAAACAAAACAGGGCGCATTCTCCTCGTGCAGTAACGCAAAAACCATACATTTATTAAAATGATGCAAAAACATACTCACAAGCCATAAAGGTCATAAAAACAGAGACACGAAGTAAAAGGTGCCAATCATGGACAGCATGCGTCCTCGGATAAAGAGCTAACGCGTTTCGGGAGTCGAACTCCCTTCCTCAGAGCAATGTTTTGTTTTTTTCTGCTAGTATCAAGATTCCCCAATCTATCAAGGGTGGCACCTCAGCCAGTGCACTATTCCATTTTGTGTGCAGCAAGAGAGATTTGAGCGCCGGTTTCTGGTTACTGTTGGAGATACCTTGACATCTGAATGCTGTGTTGTCTGTTGTGCCAGAAAAGACTCAACGTCCATATGGTTTTACTGGTACCACATCCTTTTGTATAAGACCCTGAAGAAAACCAAAAGAGACCCTAACATCTAGAACTACTAGGACTTTAAAGGTACCAGGATTATATGTAAAAAAATTAACATGTTTATTATACAAAATTTTAAAAGTCATTTTAAAAACGCATTTCAGTATAAGTGTCACAAAAGAAAATACAGCAAATGTATTTGATACTTTGCAAATAGGCATAACCCCAAATGGTCACATTCATGCAGATATCTCCAACGTGTTTCGCAGGGACAATGCCTGCTTTTTTAGGGTTTTGTCATGAATGCATAACCGCAAGCAGTCTGGTGGGCAAGAGGAGCAAAACCGCAACCACCACCTAAGGTCTCCATATAAATTCAGTCTCCTATTATCTTTCAACCCAAGAAATTAAAAAATATAAAGAAAATATGAAAAAGGGGGATTTCTGTATTTTTCCACCCACTTAATAAGATGATAAATTTGATAACATATGGGGCTGGCAACCTTTTAATTGAGTTACCACTTTATACATATGATTTGTACAGAAATACCCTTTTTTAGTATTTCCTTTATAGTTTTGGATTCCTTCGGTTGAAAGATAATAGGACACTGAATTTATATGGAGACCTTCATATTTATGTGATTTTCTAGGTTATATCTAGATTTCCTTTTTCGTTAGGGGATATATCAGCTGTCTCCCTTTTAAACCTTGACATCATATAAGGTGTGGTTGGCATTCTCAACAGGTAGTGGTTGTAGTTTTACTCCCCTTTGCCCAGACTATTTGTCTTTATGAATTCATGATAGAACCCTGTATTAGATCTCTCTGAAGTAGTGGGCATTGTCCCTGTGAAACGCATTGGTGCTATCTGCATGAATGTGACCATTTGGGTTTATGCCTGTTTGCAAATGATCAACTACAGTCAGGTCCATAAATATTGGGACATCGACACAATTCTAAAATTTTTGGCTCTATACACCACCACAATGGATTTGAAATGAAACTAACAAGATGTGCTTTAACTGCAGACTGTCAGCTTTAATTTGAGGGTATTTACATCCAAATCAGGTGAACGGTGTAGGAATTACAACAGTTTGCATATGTGCCTCCCACTTGTTAAGGGACCAAAAGTAATGGGACAGAATAATAATCATAAATCAAACTTTCACTTTTTAATACTTGGTTGCAAATCCTTTGCAGTCAATTACAGCCTGAAGTCTGGAATGCATAGACATCACCAGACGCTAAGTTTCATCCCTGGTGATGCTCTGCCAGGCCTCTACTGCAACTGTCTTCAGTTCCTGCTTGTTCTTGGGGCATTTTCCCTTCAGTTTTGTCTTCAGCAAGTGAAATGCATGCTCAATCGGATTCAGGTCAGGTG